ATTAAATGTTTTGGAGTACGTTAGGTACGTGACCAATGACCTTTACCACCACAACAGTAATGTAAATTTTAGTATTATTATTATCATCGCTACTTGTTCCTTTCTTGTGTTTCTCTTCATTGTTTGTCTACTTCTAGTGGAAAGATGCACTACCATGACCACGTCCACGGCTATGGCCACGACCATGGCCATAACCCCAAGCTGATTTATTTGGCACTACATTTACTTTAAAGAATGGGGTAAAAACAATTAGACAAGATTCATGATTTTTCATCAAAAGCTTGTTATTTTGTTCAGCCACAATAAGACAAGAAATCAATTCAGAATATTTTTTAAAACTTTTTTCATGATATTGCTATTGGAGGAGCACGTTGGATGCATGAAATGTGGAGAATGTTTTTTCCAACATATCATCATCAGTGACTTTTTCTTTACATAATTTCAATTGAGAATTGATTCTAAAAATTGTAGAGTTATATTCACTCATGGATTTAAAATCTTGTAAACATAAATGCATCTAATCATAATGAGTTTTTAGAAGAATTATAGTTTTTTAATGGTCACACCTTTTTTTTAAACTATTCCAAAGAACAAGGGGGCTTTTATAGTCAGATACTTAGTTTTCAACCCTTCATGTAAATGGTGACAAAAAAAGATCATGCTTTAGCCTTATTTTGATTGGATGGTTGATTATCGTCCTTGATTGTGTTTTCAAGACCATTGGCATCTAGATGGATTTATGCATCTAGTATCCTAGATAGATAATTTTTTCCAGTAATGTCAAGAGCCACAAACTCAAGTTTCAAAAGATTCAACATATAGATACTATAATAAAAAAAAGATAAGATTAAATGATATTTGAGATTAAACAAGATTAAAAGGATCAAACAATTAAAAAATAGATCAAATCATATATGAACATAAAAATTACCTTGCAATGAGAAACCTTGCTACAAAACCTATAGATTACCAAAACTCTTGTGTTGATAACATGTTATAAAATTAGGCAACTAGCAAATAAAGATATTTAGAGAAGAAATAGAGACAAGAGAATGAGAGAATTTTTTATGGATTATTATGTCCTTCAATACAAATTACATGCCCTATTTATAAGCATGGTCTTATATATTAAAGGTTACACAAATGATAAAAGCAAATAAAGAGTAATCAACTCTCATGATAATCGGAGTTTCATGGGAAGGCAATGAACTCTCATGATGGTGGGAGTTTCATGGGAAAAGATGAAGATAAAGAGGTGATGAAGGTGGATAGCCACTATCCTTATAATATTCATAACGATAATTAATTTATGAGAACTAAGAAAAATTATTTACATAATTAAACTTGTATAAAAACTGATTTGATTTCTATACTTCTCATCCTTAACAAGTATCATAGATTTTTAGAACAAACTTTTTATCTTCTCAATGGAAATTAAGAAAAAGGATGTTATTTGAAACAAAATAATTAATGCTACCCAAATTCTAACAAAATAGCTTATATTAATGAACATAAAAATTTTATAGAATGCGTTCCATAATAAGAATTGGAGGGAATAATATTGGAAGAAAAAAATCAGTTGCTGCCTCTTTATACTCTATATTTATGAGTAAATAAAATTTTAAAGCACTGTTTTATAAATAGAACCAAAAAAAAAAAAAAAAAAGCTGATGCGTCTATGGAAGTGGAACACGGCGAAGGAGCTAAGGTATTCCTATCTTAACATTCAATCATCGGCTTCCTTTTTTTAAAAATATAAAAAAAAAAAGACCTATATTTTGAAAGGAATGGAGTACAATATTTATATCATTAAATAGAGGTAAATAAAAGTTACAAGAATAAAATTATCAATGAAAATGAAAAGTATTAATTAAAAAGACATCCAATGAGCAGATATATATATATATATATACATATATATACATGTGTATATATATATATATAATGAAAAGTGAGACTGTTTTGAAGCCGTTGAGAATTAAGAAGAAGAATGAGGACTTTCGTAAATAGTGGAAGATAAGTTTATTATTACGTGTAATTTTATTTAAAAATATTTTATAAATTAACACGGAACGAATATAAAGGATTGCTGACCTGCACGAGTTGCCTGGTATCTTATAATTTATTATGTGAAAATATTAAATAAATAATAGGGACAGCATAAGTAAATAAGAAGCAAAGGTTGAAGTTGAAGAACGAAATCGCGGAGTGACTGGGAGTGTATAAAAGTTCTTCAATTTTGTTTGATTTAATTTAATTCAAGATGGTCTTAATTTTATTTAATTTATATAAATACTGATCCTTCAAGGTTAAAAAAATTAAAAATATCAAACTATTTATTCAGATTAGATTGGACAAGAGACTAGGCATTCAACCTACTTGATCTAGTCCAATCCTATTAATTTATTTATTATAATTATAATTAATTTATTTTTAATAAATATTTCAAGTGCAATCAATGTTAAGGAGATGATTGTATGATGATTTATTGAGCTTCTTTTTAAATTGTTATTGTAATGAAGTGTTGGTGAAATTTGTTGAATGCTATTTTTGTTAAAGTTATAAATTTAAATTATTTAAACTATAACAGAATTATTTTTTCTCATTGTCAAAAATTGTTATGGATATTATTATTATTATTATTATTATTATTATTATTATAAGTGTTTTTACTATCTTAATTAAATTTATTAGGTTGAAATGAATTATTGCCTCTCATAGAGGAAAAAAATTAAAAGAGTACCGAACTAACAGGATCAGTCTCCCAATCCTATGAACTAAGTCTGGTCCTGTTAATTTTTGAATTATTACTAAATAAGATCAAATTATGGATTGCCTAATAAGATAAAATTTAGTACCATCCTATTTTTATGTAACTCTAGGGGCGACTATTGAACCACGCACACGTGTACTCTCACCCATGCACTTATCACACGTTTACTTGCCTATGCCCTTTCCTCTCCCATTCTGCCTTCCATGTCTCTTGACTTGAAATTTTAATCTCGTGAATAATCTAAATTCATTTATATATGTACACACACACACACACACACACACACACACACATATATTTTATTCATAAACCACTTTTAATTTGTTTTACTGGTATAAAAAAATTTTAAATTTTATTAATTTTATTTAAAAATTTAATAAGTTCTCAATTTTACTCTTATTAAATATATATACTTTAGCAATATATTTTTTCTCCTCAATATTCAATGCATAATGAAAATTAAGAAAATATGTAATAAAAATTTAATTATATAATTTATAAATGAGATAAAAAAGTCTTCTCTTCCTTTCCAATGAATAGGATCGGAGGAAATATGTTTTAATTATTATAATTATATTTTATTGATATTTTAAAATTATCAAAATATATTTTTTAAAAAAAATTCAAAACAGCTCATATGATGAAAACAACCCTCATATTATATTATCTTTTTTAAAAATTTAAATTTGATGGTTTCTGAATATTACGTCACAAAGTTGAATTGTGGTTATCACTTTACATAGAATATTTTATTACATCTTTCTTACATTATCGCTTGTTTAATGTTGGTTCATTTTTTAGAAGATTAAATCTTTCATTGATTCTGGTGATAATATTAGAAGTACATGAAAAGAATAATATTAAAAAAGTTTTAATCCCTGAAACCAATAACAGAATGATATATATATATATAGAGAGAGAGAGAGAGGGAAATATAGCAGAGCAGAACAAAACTACGATGGGAACAAAACGACAGCGAAGAGCAGTATAAGATGGCAACACATGACGTAATCGTATAATGACCCAAGAAAGAAAGAGGCTTAGAGGATTAATCAGAACTTTGCCTCTCTTGATGATTAAGATCAATCGTATCTATCCGCCCAGGAATTCACAAGTCAGCAGCCACATGTCCGTTATCCTCCATCAAAGTTAACAGCGCTTTCTCCAACCCATCATCCTATAGTGAGATTCTACGATACAGGGACTAGGGATTCAAAATACAAAAAAGCGCCAAAACTCATTAATGTTACTTTTGGATTTTTGAAAATTTGAATTTAAATTTAGATTTAATTCAAATCTTTTATTTAAATATATAAAAATTATAAATTTAGATTTAATTCAAATATAAATACATCTTTTGTTATAATTCTTTTATAACTTTAAGAAAAAATATATATTTTGATCCTTACATTTTGCTCATGTTTCACTATAAATTCCTGTATCTTTTTTTTCAGTATTTTGGGTTTTTAAATGAACAAAATGAATAAAGTGTAGGGATCTTAGATGAACATAAAATACAGAAAAATAAAAGTGTAAGAACCTAAAATATTAAAAAAATATAAAGACCTGTAACAAAATATAAACAAAGTGCAAGGATTAAAAAATATTTTTTTTAATTTTAAATTTCCTTTACATCTTAGTAATTTCAAATTCCAACCAATTACTATTGATATTTTTATAACTCTTATAACTCTTATATTTTTTTTGTCAATTTTTATTTTCATCTAAAAAAGACTAGATATAAATTGTTTATTTCCAACTTTCTATTCTTGTTTTAAATCTTAATTCATTTATCTTCTTTACTTGAAATTTTTTAAACCATCTAAATGAAGAATTTTATTTTAATAAATCCAAACAAATAATTTTAAATATATAGATTTTAAATGTGAAATTTGAAATGTAAGATTTTAAATATAAAATTTAAATTTAAATTCATCAATTCAAATATTATCTAAAGGCATAGGGACTAGGGATTCTATTTTATATTATTTAATTAAATGTGTATTTTTTTCAAATTTTTTTCCCCGACATTAAATTGTTAAGAGTTATCCAGCCTAAATGCTTGCCAATTTTGCATACTGACCAACTGCTTTAAATACGAATCTGACGTTGGACGCATCTGGTACATAAGGTGCTAATTAATCATTTATTGCGCCCTCCATACATTTTCCATATTGCTTACTGGCCAGATGGGTATTTTTGTAATTATATGTTTGAACTAATTATCTCCTTCCTTCTCCATTCACCACAACCACTCTTCTTCATGCCAGTTCGCCATTTTCTAGGAAAATCTCACTTAACACTAAAACAGTGCTCTGATCTCATGGCTTCTTCATCATGTTCCTCCCAAAATAAATTGTGCAATGAGAAACAAAAGCAAGGCTTATCATTCACAGATTATCTGAGAGGTTTGTCTGTTCTTCTCTGCGAGATCTTCTTCGAGAAAATCACATCAAGCAACCTCCAAAATCCCCTCCCTTTATCTCCTCTTTCTGATCTCACTTGCATTGTCACTGGTCCCACCAGTGGAATTGGCCTTGAAATAGCCAGAAACTTGGCCTTCTCAGGGGCTCACTTGGTCATGGCAGCAAGAAACCAAAAAGCAGCTCATGACTTGATAAACCAGTGGAACCATGGAAGATCATCATCTTCTGATACTGATTCTGAAGCAGCAAATCAGCTTAATATTGAGGTGATGGAGCTGGATCTTCTCTCCCTGCAATCTGTTGTGAAGTTTGCACATCAATGGAATTCAAGTTCAAGGCCTCTGAATGTTTTGATCAACAATGCTGGAATACTCTCCATGGGGAAGCCTCACAAGTTGTCAGAAGATGGGTTTGAGACTCACTTGCAAGTCAATCATCTTGCACCTGCATTGTTGTCTATACTGCTCTTGCCATCACTCAAGAAAGGATCTCCTAGCAGGATTGTGAACAACAGTTCAACAGGACACTTTCTTGGTTTTGTCGATGTAGATGACATGAACTTTACTTCTGGGAGGAGGACATTCTCAAGCTTCAAAGCGTACGCAAGTAGTAAGCTAGCACAGGTAAAATTACGCAGATACCATGTGTTTTTGATTCAGTTTCTTATCGAGTTATCATCAATATCAATATATAATACAAAATTTATAGCAAGTTACATTGTTTGTAAATTGCAAATAGCGTAACTCATCCTTGAAACTACATGTAATACAGAATAAACGTGTCTATTTTAGAGATATTTGTGAAATCAATATCAGTAATATATAGATTAAAAAAAAAAGGTTTGAAGATTTTAAGAAATGTATCTACTCTCGATAACTGAACGGATTAAATTGATTTTAAAATAAGAGAAACTGATTTTGAATTTTTTATTTTATAAAAATAATTGATTGATTATGATGAGTTTAGTTTAGTTTAAGTCAGTTCAATTGGTTATCTTCAACTTGAAACAAAGCTAGTTTGGAAATTGAGATATGGGCTTTAATAACAAGATATAAAAATGACGTACAAAACTTGGACTAAATTGAAATCTTCTAAAAACAATGGGAAGTAAACTGAATCCTTTAAGAAAATATAAAGGACAAGCATGCAGCTATTTAAAATATCTATAGTAAGTTTTCGTTCATTAAATCAGGCAAAGTAGAGGAGATTCATTGGTGGGGTTTATGTAACTAGGTAAGAGGACTATGCTGAACAATTTTTGAAACATTGAGGTTTGAGGATAATATCAAATCAAATGTTTTGAAATATTAAGAATCTGTGACTGATGTTATTTCACCTTTACTGCATCATCAAACAGGTAATGGTCAGCAGCATCTTGCAGAAGAAGCTTCCTGAAAAATCTGGAATCAGTGTAGTATGTGCAAGTCCAGGGTGTGTGAGAAAGACAAATGTGGCGAGGGATATTCCCAAAATGGTTCCACTTGTTTTCAACTCACTGCTATTTTTCTTGTACACACCTAAAGAAGGATCTAGAAGTTTACTTTATGCAGCTACACATCCTCAAGTTCAAGATTACACTAAGTCCTTGAAGGCTCAAGACTCTCCTGTTTGTGCTTATATGGATCATGATTGTAGTTTTGGTCATGTTTCTAAAGAAGCTCAAAACTTGGAGACATCCATGAAAGTTTGGGACAGGACATTGGATATGACTGGACTTCCTTCTGATGTAGTGGACAAGTTACTGAGTGAGGATGCTGTAGAAGTAAGCCTAAAAGATAGGTCAAATTAAGCTATGTTACGTTGTGAGGTGGTACACCTCATCATTTGTAATCTTCTATTTTCATTTTTCAAGTTTTTTTCTTTTTTATAAGCAAACATACATATGTTGAAGATTTGGTTTGGAAGTCTGGAATTATTTAGACATAAGAAAAATACAAAGAACTGGATTCTATCTCCTGTGCGATGCACGGAAGAGTTCTAACTATCATGATTTTACAAATAGATCATAAAAGTAGAATAACAAAAAAATAGAAATAATCATATTATTGTAGTTGCTACATAGTTGTTCCTTAATGTTTTACAAATAGATTGTGGAAGTAAATGAATATCCAACTTCCGCAACATACAAACATATCAGTAAAATTCCCTGCAAATTTTGAAAAATCTCGTTGTGCACAACATTTTTTGTAGTTGTCTTCAATTTCTTATCAGAGTTATGGATAAGTAGTTTCAGTCCATCAGCACTTTTAACCCTTGAAAGAAAAATAATGTATCTAATGATTCAATGGATGGTGATAAGAGTTTAATGTTTCCATACCATTTGTAATATTGCTAAGTATATCTTTTACGGTATTTTTGTATACAATGTTTGGTAGTTTCTATAACATCCAAAAACTTGCTGCCATTTTGAAATTGGAGACTGTAAAGTCTCTCTTACTAATTTATAATTAATTATTCAAAAATTAAAGTAATTACAAGCCTAACCCAATTGAATGGTCAAGCATGTAAAATTTCATCAATGGAATCGCAAGCTTTTAAACTTATAAAATTCTTAGCTATCATTTTATAAATAAAAATTATAGTAAGATATGATTATGGAAGCATGTGATACCTTTTTGTAACAAAGCATTTGCATAATAGTTGAAAAATTAAACTTTAATATAGGAAAGCTAAGGCACATCGTGGCATATCTTCCCTGTGTCACGACACAATTTTTTTTATGCCATGCACCGTGGCATATCATATAAAATATTAGCTTCTATTGCTATCATTTGACAGTAATAAGGGGTGAACTTTCAACGAGCCCTAGTTCTTTATATAATATTCAATTAAGGTGATTTAAGTGTTTATAAAAAGCTTTATTTGATCTCTAGCTAATAGCACTAGTTTTACATTCGAATTATTTCTCAATCAAAAGTTAGATACTTATTTTCAAATTCTCTCCTTTTTATATTTAAAACATAACTTGAGTGCCAATTTTTAATCTAAGTGCCAAAAACATAAACTTAACCATAACTTTTAATTTCAATGATAAGCAGTCAATATTACATGAATTTACAACATATACTTCTCTCCTTGTAGGAAAACTTTTACCTCATAATAATCATGTTATGTACAAATATTCAACACGTAGTGTGATATTTTGGACATCAATCTCATTACAATATGTTCATCACAATTACGAACACAATCATATTTAACCAAATTCTCAATTCACAATCTCATCAAGTAATGCTTGCTCATCAACATAAATTTTGCAGACGCATGTATATATCCACCATGCACATCAGTTCAAATACCTTCTTACACACATCATATTAAATTTGTCGCTTCACCACCATTTGCATCAAAATTTTGTTTACAAATTTTACATGATTATCAATCAAAATCTTTTCAACAATAATCAATTAAACAAACAAATATACAAATTAAATTTTTTTTGATTACTTTAAATTTTGAGAGATTATAAAGTTGAGAGTAATTTTATGATCCAGTTCCTTTTTTGTTTTTATAGGAGAAATTGTATCTTAAACTTTCTTATTCGACATGAATAGGTTGGATCTTCATAATTTACTTGTTTTAGGGATCATCATGCGTCCAAACTCTAAAAAAATTTATAAAATTAAATATATATTGTTCATGAACAAGATTTTCACATAAGTAATAAGATTTAAACTAATAATTTTATGAGTTATGAGTCAAATTGTTATTACTTGCACCAATTTTATTAGTATAAAAAAATTTAGATGAATTAGATTCTGAGAATTTATCAGGTATTTATTTATTCATTTGATTATCAAGTATATATGTATTATAGGAAAAATTATGTATAGATCCCCTCGAGTATGTTTATTCATAAATAAGTTCTGTAAAATTTGAAAATCACAGCCAAATCCTTTGGGACTTGAATGTAATTTAAAATTAGGTTATAAAAATAATAATACCTATATTAAGCATATATTATATCAATCAAATAATTAATTTACTACTACTTTATCAACAATTTATAACTATAATTTTAATTTTTTATAATTGTAACTGTGCACATCTAATAGTTAAACAATCATGTATTACTAATAAAGTTTAATATTAATTATTTATATCTACTTCATCAATAATTTATAACTATAATTTCAACTTTTATAAATATAATTTTACACATTTAATAGTTAAACTAATTATTTTAATTTATTATTAGATATATAAAATTATAGCTATAAAAAGTTAAAGTTATAGTTAAAAATTACTGATAAAATAGTTATAAATTATTTAGCTGGTGTAATGTATATATGTTTAATAGGGGTATTATTATCTTTTTATCTAAATTTTAATTATACTCATGTCTTAAAGAACCTAGTTGTGACTTTTGAATTTGGTAAAACTTATTTGTAAATAAGTTAACTTTATGGCATTTATATATAATTTCCTTTTATTTTGATGTCAGGGTTCATCACTTCTAGTCATAATTGTTTGGGCTGGGCCATCAACACATTGCCCAGTTTAAGTGTTTGGGCTCCAATTTAAATTAAAAATGTTGTTTGGATAAACAATTGTTAACAAGAGTTGTGGGGATAAAAGCTCATTCAAACTGAAGCTACTTCAATGTGCTTCTGAAAAGAGCTTCTAGGTGAAATTAACATTTTTACTCTATCAATTTATTTTATATTTTTTATTCTACCTTTTTAAAAAAATTTAATTTAAATTTAAATATTTTTCTTAAAAAGATTAAATTAAATACAAAAATATATACTCCCTTTTTTATAGGGAGAATGACAAAGAGATCCAAAAAGAAAAATTAATTAATTTAAATTAAATTTAAAGTGTTAAATTTCAAGAATTTGCAACTCAATATCTCAATTTTGTAAATTCATTATAATAAATTTGTAACTTATATTTCAAATTTTAACCAGAAAAATAAATTTTTTATTATTCAATCATATTAAAATTTAAAAAATAAGTTACAAAGTCATCATAACATAGTTACAAAATTGAGAGATTAAGTTATAAATTTCTAAAGCTTGGCACTTGGGAGCTAATTTAAATTAATTGATTCTTTTAAGACTTTTTGGTTATTATCCCCTTTTTATAAGAGAAACTATTATACGCATGCTTGCTTCTTCTTTTTTTTATAATTTTTAAGAAGTATTTATCTTTTTTTTAATTTACCTTTCATAAAATCTATGTTTCCTTTTATCGGAAAAATTTATTTTATTAATTACAGGAATAATTTAATTTAAATTTTTAATTTCAAACATAATTATTAAAGTTAACTGGCCAACTTCATTAAACTATATGAGCTGATTAAACAATTAGTCAACTTAATTTTTCTTTTATAACGTATGTTAATGTAGAGCTATTTATGATTGGCAGATTGAGTTTGCTTTTGCTTGATGATTGGCATAACATAAAGCTATGGAACTCCGGAAACTACAAACAACAAAAGTCACTACCCAAACGTGGTTTTCTTGAAAGCAATTCTTCGAAGCCACTTGCTACATTTCTTAGTACTTAATTGCCTTAAAAATGATACCTCACGCCTTGAAATAATTAATATATATTTATAAATATAATCTTGCTTCTCTATGTTTAACAGCAAATTTGTGATCCCTGGCCTTCATTATAATAATTTCAAACAAAAATATGACATTCATCATTAGTTTAAATGGGCATATATACATCAATATCAACATCGAAGGTTAGCTATAACCTTGAAATGAGATTCTCAAAATTTAGGACTTTATTTTCAGCTTATTATTTCGATCTTCAATATTATTTTATGCATATAATATTTTCTTGGTGTAGAATATTGGATCGCATTGAACCAATGGCTTGCTCCCCACTTGTTTCTTGGTCTGTAATTAACGAAAGCGAAATTTCAATTTACTTATATATGCATGCAAAATTGTAAAGAAAAAAATGATACTTAAGAATATTTTAAGAAAATTAATTGTAAGTAAAGATCTTTAAATTATGAAATTTTAGGGGGGAAAAAGGTGACTATAGTCCTTAGTTGGGATTACAAATTTTTGGATTGGGTTCTTTAATATTCATCTTTCATATTTTCAGTACTCATCTTTTACATTGTCAATTGTCATTTTTAGTAATTTTAATATTTGATTTTTTTAATTTTTTTAATAATTACCTTAGATGTTTTCAGTGCTCATCTTTCTAGTTTCAATATTAAAAAGAATTAAAGGTAACTGTTTTTAAGTATTGAAAATATGAAAAATAAGTATTGAAAATATTCAATATATGATTATTGAAAAGTTGAAAAACGGAGTATTGAAAATGTGAAAGATGCATACTAGAAATTTATTAAAAATAAGAGTACTAACAAAATTAACTGAAAGAAAAAGTTAATTCGATTTAGGAATATGGTGCCTTTTTAAAATTTCAAAATTTCAAGATGTTTAAATATAAGTGATGTTCTTAGAGGGCGTCCTTAAATGTCATTATCATCGTCATTATCATTATCATACAAAACCATGGGCAACGTGTGCCAAGCAACTTGGATTTGCATGGCTGGCCTAGATTGAATTGAAGCAATGGTCTTTTGTCCTTATAATTTAGACGCGCAGAGCCACAGACTTGCACATATATACTTGTTTCCCACGTTTTTGACCTTTGCTTTTCTATTATTTTGGAGCCTTCGTCGTGTCTTATCAAGATTTACAGCAACATAGTAATGTGTGTTTATTTACATAATTTTCTGATAAATAGGTCTCCAAAAATACATACATACATACATACATACATACATACATACATACATACATATATATATATATATATATATAAATCTAATTAAGAACTTTTTTTTATGACTATATGATAACTTGGATCAAATTCAAGTGTTGTTGACTTCAATTAAAAGCATGTGTGTGTGTGATTTGCTATCACAAGTCCAAGTAGATTTTTTTTTCTGTAAATACAAAACTATAGATAAAATTATGTGCAAAAAGATAACTAATTGCGTCATGTTAT